TCTTGGTCAACTGGGAGAGTCTTGGTCAACTGGAAGGGTTCTTGGTCAACTGGGAGAGTTTTGGTCAATTAGGAACCCAACTGGGAACCCAACTGGAAGGGTCTTGGTCAACTGGGAGAGTCTTGGTCAACTGGGAGAGTCTTGGTCAACTGGAAGGGTTCTTGGTCAACTGGAAGGGTTCTTGGTCAACTGGGAGAGTCTTGGTCAACTGAGAGAGTCTTGGCCAACTGGGAGAGTCTTGGCCAACTGGAAGGGTTCTTGGTCAACTGGAAGGGTCTTGACCACCTGGAAGGCTCTTCCCCCCTCTCACCATGTCCCCTCCCTCCTCCCCCCCCCTCAGCCATCACGCCGGTGCCGCCCCAAGTCTACGTCTTCCCCCCTCCATCGGAGGAGCTGGCGCGCGGCGAGACGGTGACCCTGACGTGCCTGGTCAGCGGCTTCTTCCCCGCCGACGTCCTCCTGACCTGGAACCAGCAGGACCGGCCGGTGGAGCGGAGCCGCTACCTCCTCTTCGGCCCCCGGCCCGACGGCAGCGCCGACGACGACGCCGGCACCTTCTCCCTCTACAGCAAGCTGAGCGCCGGCGCCGAGGACTGGCGGCGCGGCGACGTCTTCACCTGCGTGGTGGGGCACGACGGGGTGGACGGGGCGGTGAAGTTCGTGCAGAGGAGCCTGGACAAGAGCGTGGGGCGGCCCCAGAACGTCAACGTGTCGGTGGTGGTGGCCGACTCCGACGTCACCTGCTACTGACGCCGGGGCGGCGTTGAATCGGCGTTGGGTCAGCATTGAGTTGATGTTGAGTTGACGTTGGGTTGAGGTTGATTTGACTTTAAATTGACATTAAATTGACGTTGAGTTGATGTTGAGTTGATGTTGAGTTGACGTTGAGTTGATGTTGAGTTGACGTTGAGTTGAGGTTGATTTGATGTTCAATTGACATTAAATTGACGTTGAGTTGATGTTGAGTTGATGTTGAGTTGACGTTGAGTTGACGTTGAGTTGACGTTGAGTTGAGGTTGAGTTGACTTTAAATTGACATTAAATTGGGGTTGAGTTGATGTTGAGTTGATGTTCAATTGACACCAAGTTGATGTTGAGTTGACGTTGAGTTGATGTTGATTTGAGGTTGATTTGATGTTGATTTGACTTTAAATTGACATTAAATTGACGTTGACTTGATGTTGAGTTGATGTTGAGTCAACGTTGAGTTGATGTTGATTTGACATTGATTTGATGTCGATTTGAGGTTGATTTGAGGTTGATTTGATGTTCAATTGACACGCAAGTTGATGTTGAGTTGATGTTGATTTGATGTTGATTTGACATTGATTTGATGTCGATTTGAGGTTGATTTGATGTTGATTTGATGTTCAATTGACACCAAGTTGAGGTTGAGTTGAGGTTGAGTTGACGTTGAGTTGACATTGATTTGATGTCGATTTGATGTCGATTTGAGGTTGATTTGATGTTCAATTGACACCAAGTTGATGTTGAGTTGACGTTGAGTTGACACCAAGTTGATGTTGATTTGATGTTGATTTGATGTTGATTTGATGTCGATTTGAGGTTGATTTGAGGTTGATTTGATGTTCAATTGACACCAAGTTGACGTTGAGTTGATGTTGATTTGATGTTGATTTGACCTTGATTTGATGTCGATTTGATGTCAATTTGACGTTGATTTGATGTTGATTTGAGGTTGA